CAGTCTAAAACATAATTGATTATTCTACGAAGGAGCCTTCTTTAGAGCAGAACACTATTCTAGTAAAACTTCTCCAAGCAAAGAGTAACGGCAGATCTAGTGAAGGCTGACTTGGAAAAACAAAAAAAAACCCACCAAAAAAACCCCCCAAAAACCTGCATGCAGTCGTGGCAGAGCATTTCTGTGAGTTCCTCCTCTCTTAGCCAGACCTTTCAGCCTCTGCCTAGCACCTCGGCTTTTCTCCAAGCTTTCAGTTCAGAACCAGTTCAGCGCTTGGTAACAAACCTCATTTAAAATTCAGTCAACCGTCACCGAACAGTGCTTGCTGTTAATAATTGTTGAGAATTCAACAATTCAAGTTTCAAAATAATGAAAAAATGAAAATAAAAAAAAAAATCCTGGCGGTAGTACTTCTGAAGTTTAGAAACCGAATGTTAACTGAGTCCTGACAGTTGGCAGAACTGAGTATAAAATCCTGTTCTTTCATTGCTAGTAAATAATCACCTTCAGTAGGTTGTTGCTGTGGACAGGACATGGCCATTTTGCTGGGAAGGCGACAGCGTGTTTCCGCTTGTTCTCGTAACGCTGTTCAGCATCAACTCATAGGCTTGGACGGGAACGCTCATAGAACAAACTCCTCGCGCCCCGCCCCGTGCTGTCAAATGGGTGGAATCATTTTAATTGTATGCGTGCAGTTAAACGGGGCTGCAGCCAACCTTAGTCCAGGAAAATTGTTGTTCAGGTTTCCTCAGCATGTGTTGTGAGCCTCCCTTTTAAACACTAGGTGTTTCAGATGAATCCCACACTTTCTTCGGAGTCCAGGTCATTTCTGGTAAAAGGTGCCAGGAAATTGCTTTTGTCAGTGGACAAGTTTGACTCCGTGCAAATTTTACCTACAGAAACTGTCCCAACTTTGAAGATCAATTGCAAATTGTTAATTGTAACATTTTTGTTCAGCACAAGTAGGAAATTTTTAAAAGCTGTGTTTTTGCTGTAGATGAGCTGTGTTTTTAAAGTCTGCTTCGCTTTATCAGCATCCTAACTTGAAACTAATTGTTCTGTGTAGTATAAAATCTATTCATGTGGTTAGTGATTGTTAGAGACCTGTTTGTTTCAGTTGTTTGTTAAGCCTTGTGGTGGTACTGCTAGCTTTGAAGCATAAAATCCACAGGGTTTTTTTTTTTAATGCTGTTTCCATTTGGCTTTCTAGTTTAAGGCTGAGCATCACAAAGCAAATGATTAAAAACATACGCTAAGGATTTATATCGGTCTTGCAGAAGTTAACTTCCTTCTGTGATATTAACTGTCATTGTCAAATGAGGTGGGTTTAATGCATAGTAGGAAGAGTACAGAAATAACTGCAAGCCAAAGAGGTTTTAAAACACCAGTTATTCTGCAAGCATTTAGTCTGAATAGCAGGTTACTGATATTTCACGTTTCAAGTTTAGTATTTCACAGTAGTAATGAACCACTTTTACACAGTAAAAACCAAGTGCATCCTTTGATGTTTTGGTGCCTTGGCTAGTATATTTATGAAAGACTGACACTTTTTTCTTTTCCAGCTGAAAATGGTGAAGGCTTCCATATAATTTTGAAGTGATGTCACTCAATTGCTAGACTGATACTCCAACACAGAATGACATCCTGCCTAAAGATTACGAAGATCATCCAAAACCTTAGGATCTAACTTCACCGTATAAGATGTTTCATATTGAAAACACAAAATGACCTTTCTAATGAGCTGTTTGATAGGTGAACTTTCTTATCACTGCCATAGCTAAGTGTCCTCATGAGAGGTATAATGCCATGACAGCTTACGTACAGGCATGGAAGACAATGTAAGCAAAGGTGCTTGCCCTTTACTGAAATAAGGCAAATTATGGCCAGTAGATACAGTTTCTAGAAGCGAAGCACTGCTGCTTTTCTATTATCTGTATCCAGTTGGAGATGAATGTAAACTCATTTTGGGGCATTTACCTTTCTGTGCCAGTTTGTCTATTACTTGCTTGTACCTGATGCTGGTTTTATTTTTTGATGTTAGCAGAGCACATATTAATCTGTGTGGAGATGAGTAGTTAAGCTGATGGTGATCAGGTTGTCGGGTCTTTGAGAGTAAAGCTGTCAAAACAGCTTCCCGTGTAAATTGTGTATAAGAGTGTATGTAAGAAGTGTAAATGCCAGAACAGGGCTTTTAAGAAGCCCTTAGACAGATGCAATATATGCATGCAGCAAACTGCATTATCAATAGTACCTTACTGGAGGGATTAATATAAATCCTATGGGGTACCAAGTAATTGTGTTTTGCTTTAACAAATTTAATGGAAAAGAATTGCCTATGCATCCTTTATGTTTAGTTTCCTAGGTTCTCTGCGGAGCACTGCTGCAGTTTAACTCTTTGCTTGTAAAATTGTGGGTTTAAAATTACTAGCAGTGAGAGGTGGATTTTTATGACAGTGGAATGATGCTGATGAGGGACGATGACCCACGGGCACCACGGGGTGTCATAGCTTTCAGCAACATCAAATAAATTGCTTAAGAAACACTAAATATACACCACTTCCGTCTCCTTACCAGCAGGTAAATGCCTTGCTGTAGTTACTGTTATGGACAAGTATCTTACCTTTTCGTTGACCTTTCTTTGCCCGCTGATCCGTACTGTACAGCAGTTACAGTGCCTCTTCCATATGACCAAATATTTACTTTTCTTTGAAACAGGCAATGTGCTTTTTCAATATTTTGGGTATTTCTTGTAAAGACATGGCACAGCATTTCCTATGTTAACATTAAGTTTCAACTGGTTAGGTACTTCAAGGGGAATATTTCAAAAGGTATTAAGTGACAGTTTCATAGCTGTCATTTTGTGCCTTTGAAAAGTTCCACCTTGATCTCTGGCTTAAAAGCCTGGGAATAGTTTGCTTTTTATGCTGCAGTGTTCGATGTAAACAACTACTACAGCATGTAAAAAAGCAACTTTTGATTTTTTCATTCCCTCTTTCATAACTGGCTCAAGTGCTTAGCAGAAAAGCTTCTTAAAGCTGTAGCAGTTTGAAAATCTAAATTCATCAAAGCTAGAGTTTCTTTCCTATTTTTATTTTTTCTGCACTGAAAGTAAAATTTTATGTACTTAAACATTTCTGCCTATGAGTTTTCATCTTTGGGTATTGTTTGGTCCTAGTATTTTCTTGAACTGACACTTGTGTCTTTTCAGCTCACACCGTATTCAAATCCAAATGTTTTATAAAAGTGGAAAAATCCTTGATTAGAAAGTATCCAAATATCTAATTTTAAAGAATATTGAAAGTTGTACAGTAGTTTGTCCAGCTCACTTGAAATTGGAATTAAATTATGGCACCAGCAAATTGCTTTTGTTTTTTAATAAGATGTACACATTTCAATTTAAGTATAATAAATGTTTTTCAATAATTTTGTAAATGTGCTTTCTTTTTGTTTCCTTCCCCGACACACATTAGAGATACTTCTGTTGTTAAGATTTAGATTAACTGCAAGACCTACCCTGGCAATACCAGTAGGTAAATGTAAATAATGGAAGCAAACCAGCTCTGTAGTTTATCCTGCACCCAACACATGCATCTTCTGTTTCTAATAGAAAACTTAGTTAAATTTGAAATAAGTGAAACAAATTCAAATTTGACATCAGCTGATTGTTTATTTAAGTGTCCTATATCAGAGTAGGTTCCATTTGTTTTTGTACATCTTTAATGCAGTAGACTTACAAGGTTCATTATGTTCTTAGAAAAAAAATGAGCCAACAAAAGGCAACACACCGTGACATACTGGTACCAATGACTTTTCCTGGTACAGTTGAGAATAAAATCTGCTTAAAACGCTCCATTACAGCAGTATCTTAATGGAACTCCAAGTACGATTGTAACAACACTCCTCCACTACTGTGCAAAACAAGCCCTGATTGGCTTATTTTGTAGTAGCAAAGAAATCCATGTACCACACTCTAATCTGCAATTTAGCCTCCAAGTTGAGATCTTAATTTACCAGCCCCATCATCTGTGAACATGTGAAGCATGAACACAACACAGCCGCATTAAGTCTCTTAATGTTCACACTCCTTTAAAAAAAAACAAAAAAAACCACCTTAAAATTTTGGGGGAAATTGCAGTACTATCCAGTACTACCCAGTACTTCTCCAACTGCTTTTTTTAAGCCAGTATTTCTAGTAATTTTCAGTAAACACACAGGCCCTGAACTCTTTAAACATACACACGCACACACAATCAATCTTGCACAAAAAAGCTTTCTGAACTGTTGAGTAGTTTATCTCGGATAATTAAGTTGCTTAATATAAAAAAAAGTTTATTTAGCTAACCCTCTAGCACTGAAAAACTAAGGATGAAAGCATGGCCTTAAGAGTTAATACATAGATTTTATTATTATTATCATTCAGAAGTTAAATAACCCAAATGTGAAGAGTTTGGCTTTCTACATTTGAAAACCACAGGTTTGGTTTGGTTCAACTCCTGCCTACAGCTTTATTTGCCCATCTGCTTGCTGTGTCCCTAACACAGGTGGGACAAACAGCTTGAATTGAATTCCTCGCTCCATCATAGTTCCTGTAACTGAACCTGGTTTCGATTCTTTGTCTGTGGAAAAGCATGAATAATACAACCCTCTTCCTAGAGCTGCCGCATCCTTCCCTTACAAACTGAGGAGGTCGTTGAGGACGCGCAGGAACGGCGTTACAGTAAGCACCATGTAGGAGTGTGGCAGCCAATTACAGTAGAGTGCACAAGCTCTACCACAGTGGATTTCTTACCCCTTTTGAAGGCCGATGGCACTGGGCATAAAAACGTGCTTCAGTGACGGACAAGCTTTATACTAACACGTAGTTCAACTGAACCAAGTTCAAAAACTTGAAAAGTACTTCTATTTATATAGTTATCTTGAGGTACTATCTTACCTTTTGACATTACCTATTATGTCCTGTCATGTAATTAAACATGAAGCTGAATCGTGAAAAAGTATAAGCTGTTTTGCTGTAAGAGCTCATGATTACCTTGCGTTTTTTGGTCAACATCTGCTAAAGCTGATTTGTCCTTAAACCTGATATTTAATCTGTCATGTATATTACAGATCGGCAGGTTCAGTTCCTTGGTGTGACAGACTTGAGCCCCACATTATGTTAGAACTTCACACTGAATAGTGCTTACAAATGCAAGTTAACTTCCAAGTTTAGTGAACTTTCACCAAGTAGCTGCTATGCTGAAATGCCCGCACATTTTACACAGTACTTCAGTTCTCATGCCAACAGAAGGAAGGAGTTACTAATACAAACCGAAGCATCACCAACTTAATCCACAGCTGCACATTACGTTAAGGTTTTTACCTGGAAAAAAATGCTTTTCTTGTCACAAAACTGGATGACCAAACACCACCATTAGGGACTGTCAGGAAACCGACTCCTTCCACTGATTTGCAGTCCCATTCTTGTCTTCAACAACAACAACAAACTTATCTGTGTGGTTGCACTTACTGTCAAAGAATAATACAGCATCTGCAGAGGCGCTGTCCGCTCCCTCCTACCGAAGGAGGGGGAGTTACTGGGGCAAAGTAAGCATGAACTTTCACGTGAGGTAGATGAGCCTGTGGATGAAAAGTCTGCATTATAATGGGAGAGAAATAAACGTAACTAGTAAAAAGCAGCAGCACACATCAATTACTGCCAAGAAGTCAGCGCTCATTAAGTATGGTTAGCCAAAAAGAAAGCATCTATATGCTTGATACTATCCAAGCTGTCTTCTCCTGACACGTAATTCTCATGTCCCATCCAGCTAAGGCACATCAGTGTCTGGGCACTCACCTGCTCAGGGTTCCCACTTATTCCCCAGTAAAGCACCGATCAGCCCAGAGAGCCCTCTGCCAAGAAAGGCATGTGTTCTGCTGCGGGGGCAACTGAAAAGACTCGTCTGTGTCTTGTCTCCCATATTCCCCGCTTCTCTCATCCTAGAAAGCAGCATGGAATAGAACAGGGCACCTGCCCCCAGTAGTCACTGTCGGAGATGAGCTTTCCAATTTGCAAAAGCGTTTGGACACAAATCTGGGATACGACGCTGCAGACAAGTTTAACAGTAAGGCTAACTGCTGCCCCCCAAGGTAGGCAGTCCCTGACCTCATGGGGGAGGCTCATAGAGGAAGAGAGTTTGTGGCTGGATCCCAGAGCCTAACGGCCCTACGTCCCATTAACTCCATGCAGATGTTTTACTATTGGCTCTGTATATTAACATATATTTTAGGAGAGTTAAAGAATGCCACTACACAACCCTAAAAACATAGAAGCCTGTATTTGAACAAATACAGAAAGCAGAAGATAAGCTACTCATCATTCCAACAGCAAAAGTGTCATGAGTTATAAACAGACAAGTATTACTGCTCATATAGAAAAGCTATGTTTTGTCCCTAGAGATGGGGACCTAAAAGAACGATATTCAGACTCTGTTCTTCCATCCTCCCTTGCCTGGGACATCTGCAGGATTCATACAATCTCAAGCTGTATCAACGGCTCGGGCATTCCCACCAGAACAAATCAGCAAACACGTACTCTGATTCGTTTGATTCCAGCTCGCGTGACTTGCTGGCAGTCATACAGCTCAATTCTCTCCAAGTTGTGGCAGTTCTCCAGGTGTTCCAGAGTCACATCAGTGATGAGAAGACAGTTATCAAGCTCCAGCACCTGCAGCCTCTCGTGGCCACACGTACTGTTGCTCAGATGAAGAATCCCATCATCAGTGATCAATTCACAGTGAGATAAGCTCTAAAACAGAGAGGCAAACAGTTAACAACATCACTCATTCCTAAGTTACTCTATCCTCTAAACATCAGAAGTCCTTGTCAACCTCCTTCATTCTAGCGGTTAAACAGTTACGAAGAATATACAGCTGAAATCCAGAAGAGTAACAAAGGAGTATTTTTAAGCTCTACTTAACAAGAGGGCTGTACTTTATTTTTAGCTTTGCTTCAAAATGAGCAGGCAGAGTCCTCCGTCCCCTTTGTTCTCTATGAACGTGGAAATTCTGTTCCAATTGTCACGCACCTCCATTACCAATGGGTGCAAACAACACATGTGTCGTGCCAGAAACAGGAGGCAACTTCAAAGGATGATCAAGAGCATATAGGAATAAATGAGGATCTACTGACAGGAGTTACTGTTTCACAGCTACCATGTTTTCACACATACTACCAGGACCAAGCCTGTGCAAGTCCACACAGATAAAGAACGATCAGACAGTTCTGATTTGCCAAATAATGATTTCAGGAAAACTGTGAGCGCTTAGCACCCCAGGCTGTACATACAAGGAGTAATAAACAGCTTGTACAGCTGCAGGAGTAGGTCTTTTCTGCGAGTCAGCATAATAAACTAAAAAATTCTGCTCCTCTTCAGCATATTTTTTTACTCCCTTGAATTTCAAGAGAATGGAAAAAGTTGCAGCATTTCAGGCAGCAGCACCACATAAAGCAGCTTCCTGGTTCCTTTAGGGAATTCATGACTTTTGGAGAAGCAATGATGATGACAACAACAGGAAACAGACTTTCCTTGGAGGAGGCTTAAAAACCACTCTTTGTCACCAGTGAAATGAATGCACTCAAGTCTTCTGTACTGGAAATATGCAGGGTTTATGAACTCTGCTACTCTTGCCCTGGGCTCTGAGCTAGCTCCCTGCTTTCTGCTCAGCCCTGTGTCTTGCCCGTACTTGTATCTAAGTCTAATGGTGACTGGTTCTGAAGCAGCATTTCCTTGCCACAACTATTTTTCAGACAGCAACTGATGAAGAAACACTTGCAAAAATCCAAAAGCGCTTTTTAACTTGGCACAAGCTAACAGCAATGCTAAAAAGTACCTCCTGCCAATCATCTGAATCAAACACGTAACCCTTCCCTTCTCTTGGTACAACACATCTATCTTCTTTTATTTCAGCCTGACAAGGAAGCCTGAGGACTACCAACCGTGGCTTACCCTTATTTTACCTCAGCTAGAGTCATGAGCATTTCTTGCCTGCTACCAGATGCACAGGGTCTGTCCTGCCCTTTAGAGTAACTTGCCCCTCAACTTTTTTTCTCGTTTGCTGAACAGGATGATCAAGTAACCAGAGAAGAGGGAGGCTGGGAAACAGGTCTGCAACTCCCCTCCAGTCTGATAGGGAGCCACCCCAACAGCTTCCCTTCAGCTCCAGCTGGTCCAATTTTACTCACTCACTAAGTGTGAGCAGCTAGCAGCGACTCCAAGCAACACCACAACTAGTGCACGCTGTCTCCAAAAGGCAACAGAAATGAAGCGCTTGCCCCTATCAACAGTGTTTTGTCTTACGACATGTTTATATTCTGCAAGTCTATCAACTCTTTAAATACTTAAGTTCTCTCCTATACCTACTTTCTTTATGTATGTGTTCTGAGCATTTGATTTGGCTCACAGCCTGGAAACAATCAGCAGTTGCAGGGTTAAAGAACATTTATAATAGACCTGCTGTTTCAAGGAAGGACAGGAGGTTACATGAAGCTGTCAGCTATAGCAGCAGTCTGCTGGCTAATTAAGAGTTTTCTATGCCAGGAAGTAAGCAGCTTATAAAACCAGCTTTCCTGAGACACCGTATTTGGTACCGAAAGGACAATACACGATGTACAGCTGAGTTCATAGAACTTTGTAAAACAAATATGTCAAATAATACATACTTCATATCACACCACATGACTTTTCTGACTTCATAAACCTGTTAGAAAGTGTTAACAATGTGGAATTTTACAAATACAGTTGCTTGAAATCTTTAGAACAAAGAGATACGGTCAAATTTTTTTTTTTGTTAATACATACTGAATGCGGTGTATAAATCAAATATGGCGTGATATACTGTGACAGTAAGAAATAGTATGATCAGCTTAACTGCAGAATTCAATTATCTTCTCATCTCCACCAGTATCATGAGTATTTCAGTTTCTCTAATAATTTGAATGTACAATTATTAAACACTTTCACCAGAAATTACTTCTTAAGTCCAATAAAGCATTTGAATACTCTGATACCCATGAAGATGTAACGGTTATAGCTGGTTAAGATGTAACAGTGCTTTTGCTTATTTCCACCATCTACTGAGTCTCTAAACACCAAGAAAGAAATCCAAAGTTAATTTCTGCAACTCCAAAAATATTTGTTTAAACTGCAAATATACCTAAACATATGCTAAAGCACAGCTACACAAGAGGTTACAGAACCATCAACAGTACATGATTCACATTTGAAGTATCAAGATTAGTTCACATAGCGTATTTGGCACCTGCTAGTCTGTTTTTTCCTTCCCCGTAATTCTCAGCCATCACTGCTCACTCACAATCTTTGAGTATATAGCCTTCTTATACACAGGATATCCACACCAACAAACAAACAAAAAAAATCAATGTTTCTGATTCCCTTAGAAAAGGTATGTTATTTTACCAATGCCACACTTCCCCGTCTGTGGGCTAACACACAGAGGCCAGCAAAAAGGGCCAGGTTCAGAAAAAAAACTCAGAAAGTTATGATGTTTTATGATATCTCTGGTGAAGCACTGGCAGAACTGGTACAAAAGATCTCCTGCAAGTACTGCTTATACGAAAACACATCTGTCATAGAAGAATAGAAAGCATCCTATAAAAATGGCTCCCCATCTCCTGACAACTCGTTTGGCTTAACATTAAGACTTATGGTACAGAAATGAGGTCAGACAATTAATGAGGAAAAATAAAAACCAACAACAATAAAAAATAGTGAACAAGCTCCTTTTTAAAAGCCATCTCTCCTCATGTTGCTACCTTAGTAACACCGAGTGAGTAACACTAACCAATCATAAGACAATTTAATTAATGAAGCAGCAAACCTTCCTTTAATCCCATCTAAGAACAGATTATAAAGATACTTGTTCTCTCAGGTACATTTGAAGTAGTATATAACAAATCTACACTTATGGGACAATTGGCTCTAAATACAGGAGCCTCTATTGTAAGGACGGTCTAGTAATTTTGGAGTACCTTGACTGAAGAACAGCCAAGCTTATGTCACCTGAAATTGTTTTTGATGTTCTGAAAGATCTAAGCAACCATTCCCTAAAAACCAGTTCTTTGAAATACAATAAGCAGGGTACCCCACTGAAGGCATCTCAATCCTCTCCAATTACGTTCAAAAGTCTAGGTCAAAAAACCTTCCATAATTTACAGTGTAAATGTGTAGTCCTTGGGGAAAACTGCTTGCATGCAAAACTGATTACAAAGTGATTACATTTTTCTTCATTGGGTGGTTTTGTGTATTCAATATTTGTCTTAAAATGTCATACTCCCTAAGAAAACTATTAGTGAACACTTAAGAGTATCTGTAAAGGTACTGTAAGTTGCCTATGAAAAGTTCTATTTTAACTAAGTAATCAAATATGAAGGATGTTAACAATAAAATATAAGCTTTCTGGTTATTACTCACTGATTTGGTAATATTTTTTATCACACAATGCACATAAATATTTTAGAAGTAACCTGTTTCTTTTAGAACACTTATTAAACTTGCATATATTTTGCACAGTATCATACTACATCAGGAACTTTTTCTAGATCCAGAGTCAACAGCCTATTTTTATATTGAAGGAGTTGTGTATGTGCGTGGTTTTGGCGGTATGTATTAAAGTTCACAAACAAAGAGTTAAACTTACCAATGCTTGTAGCTTAGGACAGTGTATGGAAAGTTGTATCAATGTGCTGTCAGTTATCTAGAAAGAAAAGAAACCAAACAGTCATAAGCAACAGACAGTAGGAGCACCAACCCTCAAATAGGATATCTCTTTCTCCACCAGATGAAGGTTCTGTTATTTCTGGAAAACACCCAATCACCTGTTGCTCTTCAAATAATTCCCTTTATAGAATTTCCCAATAATTATTTTTTATTTACTATCATAATTTTTAATAAAAAACAAAGCACATTTAACTGAAAGTGCTAATGTTCTGATTGGCACTGCATTGTTACACTGGACGTTCAATATTCCTTTTCATATTAAATCTCACCAAAACACATTCTTCCAAGTCCATCTTCTCCAGCTCGTGGCAATTCTAAAATAAACAAAAATCAAACAGATAAACGAAAGACGAAATAAAATAACATACAGACATAAAATCATGCACAGGGCTAGTAATATGGGAAAGCACAGCCTCCGAGAGGAAATTGAGAGTTAAATCCCTTCAAATATTTGATCACCAAAGGACAAAAAAAATGGTAAAAAAAAAAAATCCACAAGCAACACATCACCTCCTCCCCAAACCTCTACATTTTCAGCCTTTCTCTCACTAAGTGAAGTTTCTCCTCCTTGCCCTGTAAGGTTTGGAACAGTACATATGTGATCAGTACTCACTCACCCCTGCTTCCCTTCCCCACCTTGGCATCAATTTCAGTTCAAACCTATGGTATTTACAGCCTGTGCACTAAAGCTAACTGATCTGCATACAGATGAATCCAACTTCTGCATATGTCAACCTGCACCAAACTAATCTGAAACACACTTAAGGCTGTGAAACATCTCTCTTCACCATCATACTTTAGAAAGAAGCCTTAAAAACAGTTTGCTTTGCTAATGAATGTTGAAAATATTAAAATAGGGTCCACTTTAAGGCTGGGTGAAAGCTCCACTTCACATTTATACAAGCAATTTTCCCAATATTCTGAGAGATCCCTAGCAAGCTTTTAGAAGTGCTTTCAATGACTGATCATGACTAATTTCAGGGAAATGATGCAAACTTGTGACTTCGCAGCAGACCACATGGTGTCTCGGCTCAGCCCAAAGCCCAAACCCTGTTATTTACAGGCATATGAAAAAAGGTTTAACTTGCAGCTCCCAGAACAGGCTTGAGGTAACTACCAAAAGCCCAAGGCTGTGGTGCTGAATGAAGGATTTTATACAATCTATATGCTTACTTTACATACTTACAGCATGAATCAGGGCACAAGTGCGTATAGTTTATAATGTATAATGTAAGTATTTTTTTAACTTAAAGTATGCTCAGAATAATCTATTATATGGTGATTTTTTGGGTGTAAATATCACAAGGGTATGTGTCAACTTTATAGGCGAAATTTGACTAGAATACATAACCCAAGTTTAGAATTATGTTAAGCATAATAAATCCAATTGAAACATACTAAAAAAAAAGGGGGAAAAAAGTGAAAAATGCAATGGTAGATGGCAAAACAGACCAAGTTGCAGCTCTAAGCATAATCCAGAAATAAAATCACTTTTTATGCCCCTCCTCCACTGGGTTCTTCCTGCTTTATTTTTCTTCTTCTCATATTCCTTCCTAGCAGGGCTACATCAATTCACAGCTGCTCAGCAGCAATGAAAACAAGGCAAGCTCTAACCTTCTAAATGACCCTTACCCGTGCTAAAAGGGTAAAACCAGCATCTGTAAGATGTGAACATCTTGCAGCTTCCAAAATCCTGGAAAAGTTTTAAATGTTAAAGAAAACATTAACATAGAGAAAAGCAAATGAGTTTGAGATACAAATTTGTCTTCTGCAACTTAAAGCTCTCAATAGCAAATGTATATATATGCCTATTTTTCACAGTAATTTGCAATTAAAAAGCACTAGGCAGACTTTTGATCCAGCTTATCAGAAGATTCTAATAGTCGCAGAACACATTAAGTTCAATCCTCAAATCTTCTCAACATTTAGTGGAAAAAGATTATACATAATTACAGGCGTTTTGACCTCTTGTTTCAGTAAGACAGCATAATGCTCAAGTTTTCTCATGTGTTATCTGAGGAAAGATACGGGAGAATAAACCCTGAGTTAAGGGAAATGCAAATGAAGCCTGCATCCAAAACCTGTTATCTAAACACAGGATGTTGGGAAGCCACAAAACTGAGGAACTGCTTACTAGAAATTCACTCAGAGCCTCTGCATGAAGCACAGTGAAGCAAGTTACCAGAAAGCAAGGAGCTTAAATTCTCCAAGCCCGCAGAGTAAGAACAATAAACTACACCACCACAACCCTAAAGAAAACAACAGTGTTTTGGAAAGATAAACCTAACACTCTTTTGAGAGGTACTGGGAAGCAGTACTGACACAAAAAGGTTAACTGCCCCAAACAGCACCACTAGTACATAGAACAGGCCTCCATCCCGTAACTGTTTTTTTGACGTCGTTTTCTTTTTCTTTTTTTTCCATGAACACTTTTTACTTTGCAGGTGGAGTAAGCATCAAGATGAATAAGGGGAAACCACAGCACCGTGCAATGAGAAGCACAAACTAAGTGCAACTTACCCACTCACCACAGCAAACACTGCTTCTGGGGTTGGTGGGGGAGGAGGGAGGGCAGGATGGACAAAAGAAGCTCTTGCTGTGGTAACACTTAGAGGCATCTAGATCATTCCACTGGTTTAGGAGGTCATTAGAAAGCACTCTCTCTATGGATAAAGTGCAAAGGGAAAAACCATGCTGTGTGCATGAGAAAAATACAACCCCACCAGAGTATGGGATGTGGGGCTCTGACTATGACTTTGCTGGATCAATCTCGTCCAAGCCAAAAGCAAGAGCGCAGCTGAGTTTAGAGGCAAGCAGCCCCACAGGCTACACCCTTGATAACCACTTCCAGAGTGCTAGCCTTCAACGAGGTTCAGAAGTATGACGGAAACTCAAAACCAGCCAACAGAAAGGTGGCAAGACAGGTACTGCTTTCCAAGTGGATGGTTGTAACACCTCTGGATTTTCTTTCCAGACTCACATTTGGGAACTTTGTGCCCTTCCATCAAGGGCAGTTAGCAACCCACCATAAAATACTCCCAGCTACTCTAAAAATTACCTCAGATGATGGATAGGAAAGGAAAAAAACACCACCACAACATAAAAAACATGATTCAGTTCACAGTCGTTACCCTTTACTTCATTTACTTGCTTTCAACCCCATCTACACTTACAACCATTGGATCCCCAACCTCGTTACATTTTTGTCTTTAAAGGGGGGGGGAATTACATCCGCAGCGTGCAAAATAGTGGGGATGCTACTTACTGCATATCTGGCTGAACATAAGAATATAGAAACAGGGGAGAAAGAAACCAGAAGACTAGCAGCTCTAGCTTTCCTGAAATTGGGTGTGCAGTCAGTCAGAAGAACAGGGTGGGGAGAGTGAGCTATACACACATAGCATCGATCGTGTCCCGGGTGGGAAGGCACTGATCAGCATGAACATGAAGAAAGTTCAATTTTTGCTTTGTTTTAATGATTGTACTTAATTACAGAGGGCTCTTCTTTTTTCCAGATACAGCTGACATTTATTTCCCATCCAGTGATTCGTGACAAAGTACCTAGCATAGGAGCTGATGAGGCAAAATGACATCCCAGAGCAGATTCCCCACTCTCATAAAGCAATGTTCTCTGAGATAGACCTCACAGTTGCATTCATTGTCTACAGATGGGCACACCTGGAGTGTCTCTGCACTTCCTACTCCTGTTGAATTAGCAGCAGGTGGGAGAGAACATTGGTGGGGTTAAAGGCACTATGATCCTAATTTTCACAGCCCCACCTAGACAAAGACATTCATAGTTCATGGCTGCTTTTCTCGATAAGCCTCACCAAAACACCTACTAGTATTTTAACACTAAAAAGTTCTAAAAAAGAAAAACAGAGAAGGTATCAAGCACTTAAATGAGCAGATATAAAAAGGAATGAGAAGACACCTATATCTTGATGTAGGGGAAAAAAAAACAGCTGAAGGGAGTTGGGTCAAGCTCAGGATTTTTTTTTCAAGGAGATACCATTTGTGAGTGGTAACAGCTGCAAAACACAGCAATATCATAGAAAGCAGCATAGTAGGACATCCAAGACCCTGAAGTGAAGTGAGAGTAGCACAGCACAGAAAATACTCAAAAGCTTCCTAACAGGGCCAGCATGTCCAACAGAGGTAGGAGAGTTTTGTATCATACTCGACACCAAAATATTCAGAAGGTATGAACAAGTGTGGAATCACATTTCCCTTTGATTTCCAACATTATTTTTATCAAGTACTTTCCATACATGATCCCAAAAGTCTAGACGTAACCTGCTGTATCACCTGTCTTTCCATCACGCACTCCTCTGCAGTAATCACTGCAAAGGGTAATTTTTTTCCTTATACTGTTCCTCATCAAAGAAGAACGGCAGACGCGTTCCCCCTCGTGGCACAGACAGGGGCTAACAGTTTCCCTACCAAAGTCAAAACAATTCCTGCTACAGTTGTACCGCCCTTGGAAAGAACTGCACAACTAATAGCACTTTAGACCTCCTTTTATTTCCAATCTCAGCTGTGAATTTAGAGAATGAGAAAAATCGTGGAAAAAGACCAGTAGTAACAGCACAGCTTTCTAAAGAACACAATTGTGCCAGAAGACTCCTCAGCCCCAAACATGGGCACACATAAGCTCTTGTAAGTATGAACCATTACATGAAGGGGACTGTCACTCTGGAATTGTCTTAAGGATAGGTTTTCTACAGTAACAAAAGCTCTTTTTCACTCAATCGGCTAAAGGAACACTGTGTGTCAGCATATTGCACACTGGCATTTGAATGTAGCTTCCCCTAATTTTCACGATCTACTTTTCTCCATTTATCTGACTGAAGTATAACAAGTTGCAACTCCTGCACCTTCCTGTCATAAATGGCAATTTAGTGTCATCCAAAAGTCTTTTGTTTTGATTTCATTTACATTAAAATTAGACCTTACAAGAAGTATATGCTCCTATAAGCAGAGAGCTGCTGCTTGACAGAGCTTCATTACTAAAGCTGAACCTGTCCCCACTTCTGAGAATACCACCATAACATATGTTAGCACAAATTACATCAATGTAAAAGTTTATACTATTTTTAACAGACGAGCCCCTATTACTCAAAACATATCCCATAAATATCAGTCCTCAGTGCTTGCAGAGACATTAGCACACTATATCGGAGTTTAAGAATGCCAGGATGTACCACAGAGCATATTAAAAACACATTCATAATAAAATCTGTAAATATAATACTCAGGTATGATTTAGCTATTTTTTTTGCAAGACAAACGACTGCATAAACCACATCAGAGTACAAACATCACAAGACACAACACAACTACAGATATTTTTACCTTTTAAAAAAATAATGGGCTTTATATCTTCTTTTCTTCTGGCTTGTAATTAGTACCTAAAATATTTAGCTAGAAGCACAGAATTGAACTGCTACGTTCAACACGTTTTATTTGTCATATATTAATTCTTGTTTTTCCAGTACACAGTGCACTACATTGATATGCTAGCTACAGAGGACCAGCCCTCAAGTTCATATTCAGCTGGTACTTCTAACTTAATGTTTTGATTGCAAAGGTAACACAAACAACACAAAGCTAAATCAAACCTGTGGATATCAGCTGATTATCTTCAGAAGTGAATTTCTTAGATCAGGCCAGTAACAACATGACATACTCACGACACGCTCATGATATACTCACTTCAGCCTTGGACAGTTTAGACCAAGCGCTGTGAGAGAAGCATCTGTAAGGTTGCTACAGCCTGAAACACAGAGCGACTGAAGTCTATGACATCCTCTACAGATTTTTACAATGCCCTCATCTGAAATTTGCTGCAACACAGAAGAAGGTTGAAGTTACTTCGTTACCAAATACTCAGCTAAGAACAAAAATCAAGTCATATTACTGAACTGTTAATGTCATATTGTATATAACCATGGCAACCTGTGGACTTTCAATCAAAAAAAATATCATTGTGAAACCATGTTCATTGTTTGTTGTTGTCTTCCTCTTTCACTTTGCTTTTGCTTTATAATTTTCACATAATTTTTTTTTAATTGTAGTTGTCATTGTGCTGCGGAACAGCCTGCTGCTTATATGTTTGTAGAGTTCAGGCCTTTCATTCCAGTGACCGAGTAAGTTCAGGAACAGTGCAAAAGAGAGCTTAAAGCTCGACAGCAGGAGAGCTAACTACCTGTTTTGCACTGGAACAGTAGAACCCAAGGGTAAAAATCCTTCACCTCCAGATAATTTTCAAAGGAAGAGTTACAGGTAAACAATTATATATAATCCGTTCTTTACAGAAGACAATGGAAATGCCAGGTTTGCCCTACCCTATGCAGTTGTCTTCAGCTGAAAGATTTATCTCAAAAGAGGGTTTTTCATTTCTCAAAACTGTTTTGTACTACATATTCTGAAAAAAGTAACTCTAAACTTGGAGTATGAATTTAAAAGTTTTCTCTCAAAAACAGGAACTATAAGAAATAGCCCCAATGCAGCTGCGCACAAAATAGCAACAGGAACTAGATTATTGGGTATGTGTGCAAATATTATTTTGTCTACGGTTCTTCTATTCTGGAGAAAGTATTCTCTCCTCCTCCCGCTCCTAACTTCAAGAATTTAATTCTGCTGAATGATTAATCCTTGAGGGTGAAAGGTTATTTTATTTCCTGGCCTAACATTACTCTTCCAAAGTTTACAAAGACCTCTACTGTATTTTGAATTGAATACACACATTCCTTTTATAAGCCACTCATCTAGGTACGCTAATACTACTACAGCATATTTCTGAGGCTATTAGAAACATTACCTTTCACAGATGAAAACAGGATGAGAAATAGCAGTAGCTCAGCAGAACGGGAGATCACCTTATGCCTCCTCCCCCAACCCAGCACTTTTTAATATCAGTAGTTCAAATTTGCAAATTCTTCTGACAAATAAAAATTATTCCAGACAGAAAACTAGAAGTCTTCTTTTTGTGAATCCAGAAGGATTTGCATCATCTACAGATTAGAAGATATTTTCTGGAACTGTTTTGTTCTCTTTGGGAGATACTCATGACACTGTTATTGGGAAAAGGAACTATTTTGGAGGTAAGGACTATGTAAATTTTATGCTGCTGCTGGAGATGGACAAAACCCTCAAGTTATACATGAAAATTTTCTACTCTGAAATTGTTTGTGATTTCAATGCCTACATCCCTCTCAAGAAAGAAAAGTGCTCAAAAAATGCCTGCAAGTCCCCAGTTTAGAATCCTAGAATAGTGTGGGTTGGAAGGGACCTTTAAAGGTCATCTAGTCCAACCCCCCTGCTGTGGGCAAGGACATCTATAGTGTAGTTTCTACACTATAAAGATGGTACCTTTCAGATGTGCAGTCTCCAGAGTTAGTATCAGTTCATTCCATAGCTGCTGGAGCTGGCCTGGCATTTTACAAGGTCCATAAAATAGAGCCACTAAAATTAAAGTGTGGATCATATAAAGGACAGAGACCTGCTGTGTAAAAATCAGTGCTAGCCCTTTGATCATAAAGAGCCTGGCTGCTTCTGGAAGCATGCTTCTAAGCCATAGCAAGCAGGACACATCTCCAGTGAAATAAAGCTTTAAAACACACATAACTAGGTAGGACACACAGACTATCAACTCAAAAAATTCAGAGGGAAAAATACTTTCACTCATGAGGGGTTTTTTGTTGGTACTTAATATCTACGTGACAACAAACATACTGGCCAAGGGAAAAAACTCTCATACACGTCTATGCCAATGCCCCTTTTAAGCAGGAGAGATAACTGGTTATCATCAGATGTCTTGAGAGCCTTCCACAAAAATAATCAGAAAAGGCTGGTCTTGATATATCTCATTAGTCTCAGGTAAAACACAACAGAAAAATAACTTTGAAGGAGGAGGACAGCAAAAGGAAGAGTGAAAGGGGAGGAAATTACTTACACACTTTATTCTGTAAATAAACAGAATAATAAATAAACTTACAGTCTTTTATTGGTTCTGACCAAAAGAAGGAACTTCCTTTAATTCCCATTATCTTTAGGTGCCCAACTTCAGCGGGCACCTAAATTCAGATTGAAAAATTTGAAAATTTTAAACATCTGGCTCATGGAAGCTCAAGCTTTGTATTCATATTGTTCTTAATTTCTGGAATTTTCTAATATAACTTTTAATAATCCCTAACACTCCAAAATGTTCAACACTTTAAAGAAACTTATTAGGTCCAAAAATTTTCATCCAATCTTAATAAAAAATGGTCCCATGCCACATTCATTCAGGAATAATGTGTAAACAGATTTGAAGTTTTTAGCCCAAGCAGATTCTAGCTTCTAGCAATAAAACTGTAGAAAACTTTCCAAAAGCAAAAAAAATAATCTAACTTCATTATTCAAATTTGCATGACTGAAACACTGAAATTCTAATTTATTTCAATATTTTCTAAGGCTTATTTACAGACAAAGAATGACTTAAACACATTTAAAATCTAAAAGATCTTTCCCATTCCTAAGAAGTCACATCAGAAACAACAAAAAAGCAAATATAATACACAGCAAATCAAATTTTTGTGTACTCTCTAAGTAGAATTAAAAGTACGTGAATGATTACAAATGAATGGGTTCTTCCATTACTATTGAAAAAGCATGCCCTTCTCCTGCTACCTAGATGGTTCTGAATCATCTTCAGTTACGATGCCATTACATTTTACTCTCAATTATGTAGCCCAGAATATAGCTTCTGCTCAATTAGAAACCTTAAAATTATGAATGGACCAAAATGTTTGATCTTAATGGATGAGAGAACAAGAACTACATCTGTAAAACTGCATGGTTTAGCACACACACAGTTCATGAGATTTGAATGAATACAGTTAATTCTTACTCTAGAGCTTGCTACAGTTAAAAGATGTAATGAGGGGAAAAAAATAACCCAACACTCCAAATCCACACTCAGCTGTAGAAACAGCCAGCTCATTTAAGACCTCTATTCCACACAAAATTCTGTAAACTGCAGAGGTACTATTTGAATTATTTAAGCGTGTAGAAGATCAATTCATTAGCATTCAAAAATGGTTTATGATTCTTAGAGAATGTACCTTTTCAAGCTTCAAATACTTACTGTACAGGATTGCAAATTCAGGATTACAAGTTCATGACAGTGATTTTGAATGTGTTTCAATGCTTCATCTTCTAACTATTTAGCAATTAAATCGGACATAGGAAAAGAAACAAGAAATTAAAAGCATAGCAAAGCAGCCCAAAGAATGTACACATCTTGTAATATTGAACAAAAGACTATAACAAAACTGGTATTTTTTAATTCATGGAGATTTCAAAAACCCAAAATAAAATTTCATTCCTAAAGGATCACCCAAGCAGTTATGTACCTGTGTGCAACCTCTAAGAAATAGAGCTTTTAGTCCACTACACCCTTTCACCAGTGCTTCAATACCATCCTTCGTAATCTGATCACACCAGGAAAGATTCAAATGTTCCAGATTTCTGCAACCCTCACTGGGAGAATTAAAAAAATACATAAAGTTAAATCCAGCCTTCAAATAGTCATAACAATGGGAAACCCAAATTAAACACACTGTTAGAAATTAATGATAGCCAGTGGACTATGCCAGGCCTCCACAGAAAAGTCATGAGAAAAGACCACACACAAACACCATAGTCTACACCCAAGAAGTGCTAGATATAGGATATAGTCAGTGCTGATATACAGTATTAAGGGTCAGCACTGATTTTTTTAACTTTATTAAAGATGAACAGCTCTTTAAATGCTTTTCTTTAACACAAAACACTGAATCTTCTTACCTTAAGCCTTTCAAAGAGCTGTTTGTGATTGCTACGCAAGATGTCAGATCCAGATGTTTCAGCTTGGAACAGAATCTGCTAAGACTGTAACACGTGCTGCAAAACAGCAGACACACTAAAAATACCTTCAGCTACTTCTTTTTCCAAATTTCCCCATCAAACAAAAAACCCTTTTGACTTACCTGTCAGTGATTTTTGTGCACCCATTTAGATTTAAGTGTTCGATGTTTCTACAGTTCTGTGCAAACGTCCTAAAACAGCAACAAAAAGCTGGAGAATTAATATAATGTCACAAGTTGTAATACAGTCACTAGAGTGCGCTCTGTCCCCTACCTCCTTCCACCTCAGTCAAAAAGCTTAATTCTTCAAGCCACAGAGTAATTACAAAGTACATCTCAAACACATCTGTCTCAGTGGTTGCTTTTTCCTTTTGCTACTTCAAGTTTCTGTTTTAGGTAACTCCTGAAACCAAGTATTGTTTCTCTCTCAAATACCACTTGAGCAAGGTGTTTATTTCTGTCACATGTAAGCCAGAACTGACTTGCTTCAAATGCCTTAACTAAAAACATTAAGGGCATAAACAGAAAGGTTTAAATATCACATCAGTTAATTATTAAGCTACTGGGGAGAGTTTTTGCACATCTCATTACTGAAGCCTTTGTAGGTCTTATTAAGGAGCTCGCTCCCACATCAAATGAAAAGGAATGTACCTTGCACAATACAGAAGTGGGACCTAAGCCTATTGGACGACTAATGGAAAGCCCTGTGGGTTGCAAATTAGTTATTTATGATTTTAAAAATTAAAATGCATCTGTGTGCACTACTGGATATGAACTCTAAGGATGACTGGATCTATAATACTGCTAAAAGCCTGTATGTATTATTATCCTAATTAACCAGAAGAAATACATAAACTTTCTTTTCATCTCTGCAGAGTAATATTTACAGCTGCATTGCATTTCAGAACACTGTTTTTATGCCCATGTTTCCTCCAACTGCACGGATTTTATTGGCAGGGGTGGAGGAAACACACAAAAACAGTTTTGTCTGGAGGCTTGCCGTGGTTAAGAGATCCGACTACACACTCAGCTGGTAACAACTTCCTGGCTCTCCAGTGTGGATTGAAAACAATGGAAAAAAACCCAGCAAGCAGTTATACTGGTGAGAGTTTCCACTTGAATTCTCAAAACAGCTATTCCAAAATTCATGTACTGGAGGGAGATTTACAATCGAGACACTCTTCAAATCACTTGGAAAGACGCTACACTCTGTAATAACTTGCAGGAACAGCAAATTTTGCCTCCGAGATTCAAGCATGGGGCATGTCCTGACAGAGCTGCCACAAACACCCAGTACTTACATAGTCAATACCTACTTCGATAATTGGCTATTTTTGAACAAATGTTGATGTAGAAGAAGGATAAATAGAGAAATTAGTATCACCCACAAAACTAATGGATCTGGAAACAACTCAACACAAAAAGCCTGATAGAAAAAGTCACTTTCAGAACAAGTATCTGAAAATTAATGCCACCTTTCTCATGCTAACATTTTGAAAGTCTTAAAGCTCATGCATTTATCCTTCAATTGGTAATTTCAATATAACCTGCTTCTATTTCAGAGATGATCCATCTTCTTTCCTGAAGTGTCTTAGACACCACCATCTGCACCAGTTAGTTGTTACAGATGCATGTGTGAATACTGGTAACACACTGGTAGCTGATCTCAGCTAAGCCTGTCCTATTACCTGCTAGCATGACAATGTACACATGCTACACACTGAACTGCTATTCTAAGTACCTGTTTACCAAATATGTAATTATTTAAAAGTATCCCATCCCCAGCCCTCCCCCTCTTCTCACATGCTACTAATACCTGAGCCCACTTAGGATTTTTGGTCCTACTCACAACCCCCACTGCAGTCCCCTAGCCTCAGTGTTCTGAAAAGCACAGCTGGGAGCCTAAACCAAATGTGAAAATGGAGTTACTGGGGGGAAAACTGTTACCTATTGTCCCGACTCTTAATTTCTACACCCTTCTCATTGCTTTCCCCATTACCTCCTCCCCATGGTAGTTGCTACTTCTCTCTGAGCCTGCCTTCCCTCTCTCCTCCACTTCTGCTATTGCCTTCCCTACTGAGGGCACAGGGACTGCTGGCATGAACGCTCTGGGAACTTGGAGGAGTACTGCAGAAAGTTAACTCTGGTTGGGGTTACCTCTTTTTGACAGCAGTTGCCAGTAATTTGGAAGATGGTAATAATATGCACTTTCCCCTGAGGAGGCAAGACTGCCTGAAGGTGGCAAGACACCAGGGAGCAGTTAGGGAGATGTCCTACAGGCAAGGAAAGCTCTGGGGAAATCTTCGGGTCTAAAGCTAGCATGCCCATTTGGGTTACTAAAGCAATCTATTGCTTAACTAGTTGCTGGATGAATTTACTCAGTGAATTGCACTTAGTTACACATTTTAGAAAGAGCTAAAGGTCACACGACACTATCTTAATGCCCACCGCTTAACAAAAATCTTTGTGCTTTTATCTTCCACTTAAGAATGGCTACACTACGTCAGTCTGAACACCATCCAGCCCAGTCTCCTGTGACAGTGGAGGAAAGTATAACTGCAAAAAGCCATACCCTGAGGCTTCCTCCAAATATTCTTCAAGCCCTGAAATACTTGTAGCTTAGGGACCCTTCAACTGGAGGTAGGATCTTTGGGTTTAAATACTCAGAGAAATATATCCACAGAGGAATCTGGCTAAACAGTTTGCATATAGAAAAAGCTTATATGGATTCAAACTATCTTCTGGGAACAAATTGCACAGTTCAATTTATATACTGTGTAAAGAAGGGCCACTGTCTCTATTGAGAGACTCCCGAGATGTTCTTGTTGCCTGCCTGTTCTCATATTAGAGCAAGAAGAGAATCCCAGGCCTTTCCCAACTTTGTAGGCACTCAATAGTGTCAGTCTTTATTCCTCCTCTCATTGCTAGGGTCACCTCTTGTCCAGACAAGAAGATAAACTACAAACTGACCGACTACCAATCTTGATGAAATTAATATTGTAGGATGCCAGAGTATAGATCTGAAAACATTTTAACGGCTCAAAAATTGAGAGATATCAACATAATACTAATGAAAGAAAAAGACACATTTCTGAAAAGCACAGTTCTCATTTCTTAGTTCATTTCCAGAAAATAACAGTAGCTATACTTTGATCTCAAACTGACGTCTCATTTAGTCATTATTAAGGTACTTAGTCCTTATTTAAGTATCCCATTTTGGTCATTAGTCAGTACTTAGAAATCCAAACCAATGTAACAATAATTGCTTTTGGTCCAGACATTAGGAAATAAGTGATGTCTCAATCTCGGACTTTACTTACTTTAAAGAGGAGTCTCCAACACCAAGACATCCTCTCAGACTAAGTTGTCTCAGGAACCCACCACACCTTTTCGATATATTTTCCACAACACGACCCTTAAACCAAATAAAAGGAAGATTTTTGAGTTTTATTCTGACATAACATTCTAAGCAAGTTAAAAATGCCGGGAGTGAAAACCAGCCCCAGCTATATCCCACCAGAACTACACCTCTTTGAATTTCTTTTGCTGCTTTAAGAAAAAACAGTTACCTGTTCAGAATCTTCACTCACACTGAAGTGCTATTCAATTCAACCTTTCATTTCCTCTTCCTTTTTTTTCAGTCTATCACACATGGCTCAATTTTTTGTCTCAGCAAAACCTACCCACTAAGACTGCTAAAATGATCTTGAAGTTTTGTCAGATGTGTAGAGAACCTGAAGAACTGCCCCAGAGGTGGAATGGGAAGCATGGTCGTTCCTCAAGGATCACAGTTACTATTACAGCATGTAAGTTTAAATTGCCCATGAAGATGTGCTTAGGCTAGTACGTCACACTGAACTACAGCCTCTGGCAAGTCCAGTTTTACAGTCCCTGCCATAGGGATGGTTACCTCTGCAACTGAAATGTGCTGAACACCTTGGTGGGAGCAGCCACTTCAGTTGCCTCCAGAAGATTTGCCAGAGCCCACCTGCCCGTCTCCAATGTCATATATATTTGGGTGCCTAACACTTGGGAATGCCAAAGAACTTCTCACACTGTGAAGCTTACAGACTTTATGCTTCATTATTTGTCAAAAGCTGAAGCACAGCTTATAAACAAAACTTCCTACTTGACCCCACATTTGCTACAAAATGCCTTTTATTTACATCCTGAAAGGGCATTTTGCTATACATTAGGAGTAAGCAGAATGGCACAGTACTTCTAATATTCAATCTGAAAGTAGCATTATGGAAAAATGTTATTTAAACTACAATTAAAATACACTTTTTTTTTTAAAACTTTTTTTTTTTGGTAGGAAAACCAAGATAAGACAGCAGAAAGCAGGTGGCCACTGCAAAAACTGACTAGACATCACATTGTGTCTAATTTTAGGGACGTAAGGTAAAAGAAATCAATGTTGACCATTTAACAAACAGGACTAATACCCTAATACACCTAACACCACCTTTTATTTTCTTCTCTTTCTCTCTCTTTTTAAAGAAGGAATACTTATAAAATTACAGGTCAGTGGAGTTTTTTGTTTGTTTGTTTTCCTCTCTATGCAGGATGGTAACAATTACTGAAACAGTAAAATGTTTCTTACATTTTGTTGTTCACCTCTAATACCAAAGTCCTGGCTAGCACTATGTGAAAATATTTGCTTATCAGAGCTTGTTTCTTAGTCCATAAGTAACATTGTTTACATTATCTCTCAGAAGAATTTACACCAAAACAAACAAACAAACTGAAAATCATTATACAAACAAAATGATGTATTTTTTAAATCTTTCCGATTAGTCAGAATTATTTCTCAGTAGGGGCCAAATACCCTTACTGTAAGGATAAATCTTCAATGCAAGTTCAATCTACATTGCAGAAAAAAGCCAAACCCCAATGCATTAGTCAAAGAAAACAGAAACAGTAAGTTTTCCCAAACCCATTTATTTCTTTAAGCACATAAAAAAACCCAACAAACAGTATATTCAAAAAGACAACTTAAATGCATTTAAATGTGTTTAGCTGTTTGAATACTTCAATGACACTCAAAAAACTAGTTTTTCAAATTATCCCAGCTTACATTTGGTTCCACATACCAAGAAATCCTAAGGCACATTTAACTTCAAGTTCTTCACACATCTTTGTGATAGAAAAGAAACATTTTTTCTTTAATTTTTTTTTCTCACTTTATTCTCTACCACGAGGTCTTAAATACAGAAAATTTCACACCAAAACCTGATTTTTCATTATTTGATATTCTCAGATCAAATACTGCTTCATGCTATGTGAAACATCACCAAACAGTACAACGTCCAACTGAGCAAAAAGTTGCCAAATAAACTAGCAGCTTTTACCTGTCCTAAATCTATAGGCAAAAAAAAGTGTTACTAAAACAGCTGAAGAAAAAACAGAGTTCTTAGACACTGAATGTGAAAGTATATCGCATTCAAAACTACTTTATGTAATAATTGCTGGTTTAATATACTCTTATAAATTAATTTAAGGGGTTTACATTACAAATTTACTTAAATACAACATACTGAAGTAACTGAATTGCTCCAAACCACAATATCTTCTTATAGCAGAAGAGGATCATAACTTAATTTCATTCCTTCTCCTGAATCCCATGCTACAAACAGTGTCTCAAAGGGCAACACCACTAGGTACAAACGTAAGACAAACATATCAAAAACATAAAAATCCAATACTGTGTTTCTAAATAGCAGAAAGGTTTCAGACACAGAAAAGGCTAACGAGCAGAAGGACCACAGACCTGTGGGGTTTTCTTTATTATTTCTTAGCAAGTAAGAAACACAAGCTTTTTTAAAGGCAACTGAAAAGATTACATTAAAGCTCCAAGTCTTCTTAGACACATTTAGAAAGAGGCAGATGCCAAAAATCTTTCTTCTACCTCTGTAAGATCCTCATGTTTAACATCAGTATAGCAGAGGAGTTGGCAATAAAATTTTAAAAGAACGGTGAAAAAAATTTACCCTATATATTACTGTAAGGCTTTAGGAACAGTTTGAACCACGGTTAGCAAAATATACCAAATGAAACCCATCTGGATTTTACTCATGCAACTAAGAAGCTAAAATATAAAATCCAGAAGCAAATTCATTATTGTATTCTGAATTTATATTTGTATCATCAAACAACAAATAATAAACCAGTTCAGATTCAATTAAGGAATTGTATTTCCCCATGGATTTTTGTCTTCATTTTCAGATGTCATATTTTATTTTATTATGCACATCTGTGATAGCATTAATGCACGCATGTTTTTCTTATGGAAGACAAGGCTGCCCTAATCCTTTCATTATATGCTGAAAAGAACTTTAATCCACATGTACCTGCATTTCAGGCAAGATTCAAATCTTATAAAACAAATGTTCATAAGATGGTAATCAGATACAAACCAAATCAAATCTAGGCAAGTCAGCGGTAAGAAAAGTTGTTCAGAATTTTATTGTTTCAATCTCCAAGTCCTATAGCCAAGTGTCCAAAGAGCTTTCAGCACTAGATGGCACCCTCACAGAGAGACACAGGACTACCAACAAAATTATCCTCTAGATCGTGAAAGTGATTCGGGGGATCTCACTCCATCCAGAGGCACCTTTTATACCTTTATTTTATGGAAACGAGCAGCTTTGAATTTCTAAAGCCCTGTATGTATATGATACCTACAAATTATCTGATACATAGCTGGCAACCAAAATTGAAATATCCAGTGTAAAAAAAGTCAAATACAGAGTTCTTTTTCCATTTGCTCCTTTCACAGTAGTAGTATCTTGAACTTTAGCCTTTAAAACGTGTGAACACAAGCACAGTCTATGGGATACTCAAAATGGGCGATGCTCTTAACCATCACCATAGGAATGAAAAAAACCCAAAGACACTAACCTCTATATCCGTTTGAAAGTTAAAGAGGTCTATTCTTTGCCAATTGCTTCCATCCAGAGCTAAAACATTCCATGCCTACAGAAAACAAATACAGTTTATTTATTACCTCCACTGCCTGCTCCTTTCATTTGCCTCTCAGCAATTCAAATATAACAAACTCAAATATAACAAAATATACAATTTCAGGTAGCTTTTTTTTTTTTTTAAATATAATTGTAGATATTAGTAGTCATACAATATCAACTAGTTAAAGACACAGAAATTGTGGAAATGAATCTCAAGTCTCCTAAATGGATTACACTTCAAAGGCTCACTTATGCCCACAAAACATGCAGGAAAGTAAGAAATTAAACGTAAAGTATGTCCACGGACACAGCAAGATTTATCCCTCCATTTTTAAAAAAGCTTTTGTAAATTTGTCTAGTAAAAGTTACTTTTGCTAGATCTGTATGGAGAAAAGTAGCTGCAGATGAGATTCCTTCCAATAAAACCACAGTTCCTCAACCTCACTAGTTACTATTCTGAGAGGAACAGAAACCTCTCAGAAAACTGCTGACTTTCCAATGTTAGGATCAGGCCTTTCCTTTACACGTGCTAAGTTACATGTACGTGTTTGAGAATTTGTCCTTCCCTGTCAAAGCAATAGTTGTTCAAAACAAAACAAAAAAGCCAGAGAAACACAGATATACTCAGAAAAACGGAAAAAAGAATACCGCATTCAACTGACAGGTAGTTCTGAGAGAAAAATACAACTTATTCATCTCTTTGGTTTTCTTCCACTGTTTCTAGGCTGTAGCTGAAGGTTCTAACAAAACCTGATGTTAGTTGACTCGCAAAACTTACTGAAGCTGAGGCCAGGGTGATACGAGTAGGAATGAAATAGTTAGACACTTAATTATACATTAAAACAAACACACAGAAAACCCCAATTAAAAAGAAAAAACAAACACAAAACCCAATCCTCATTTAAAGAAGGAAGAAAAGCATGAAATAAAGTTCATTCATGTTGTATAAGAATACACTTCATTGTACACAGTTGATGTAGGAACAGAATATTATTCAATTCAATTCAAGAAAAAAAATCAAGACGAGCTAAACGTAAAAGCTTACTTAGCATGCTTTCTCTATTATCTTCTGTCTGCCTTTTTCCTCTACTAGTAGTCCATCTACTTAACACCTTTTGTACTTGGCAAGCAAACGATGGATGTACTTCTTAGACACATGGTGCACATTAACCGAACTACATGGAATTTTAAGCAGAAAATGCGTCTGAAAAATGGTGTTATACAGCCACATGCTTTATAAAAAGCAAATGCCACCATGCCAAACCAGGCTTAATCCTTTCTCCAGATATAGAGCATACACAACTGGGTATCTTTTCCATAGCCTTTAAACAGAAGTCCAGTACATAGCAACTAATTCCACATCTGAATGCAAAACTGGACCCACTGTTTATTTGTTTTAATAAACAAAAAGACTGAGAGAACCATTGCATTTTTTTTAAACAGGAAGCAGATTGCCCTAAAGCCCACGATTTGCACGTATTTAAGAGAACAGCATCCCAAAGAACAACAAAAAATCCCAACAGAAATACATACCTTGGAAACTTGTGCACATCGACACAAAGTAACTATGTCCAAGAAAGAAAATATTCTAGGAAAAAAGGAAAAGAACAACAATTAAAATATTTTATTTTAAATTCAGACTAATACATGGATTCACAGTTCTGTAGTTCTGTGGAAATATACCAGTTACACAAGAAGCAAGTTAAATGTAATATGAGTGTTTTACCAAATTATTTTGCGTATTGAGCCTTAAGGAATAATATCATAGCTATCATCTAAAGACAGTCAACACCAACATATTAGAACCAGCAGGTGCTTCTTCTGAAAATCTATCTTCTGTTTCCTCTTCCTTACTACCCAAACATGTATGAATCATAACAAATTCTGTTTTCTTCTTTTTAATTCAGAGAAACTAGCTTATATACCTTTAATTGTGCTACAATTACAGAAATAACTTACACAAATACAGGTGAAGATTTCAGAGGCTGGAGTAAGAAATGGAAATCAACACATAGATAAATACAAGTCCAAGAATCTAAGTACTAACACAAACAATGATGACCCTAATTTCTAAAGGGGTTTCACAGTGACTACCAAGTCTAACACAGTATTTTTTTTTTTTTTTAAATTTACTCTACAAGAAACAACTACAATTGAAAATTTAGCATTACTATTCTGATCATGGAACCAATTCCTCAAGGCTGCCAACTCTTAGTAGTTTCCTGAAAGAAATTTTTCACTGTCAAAATGAATTTTGCTAACTGCCATTTCCAAACAACAATGGCATTGGTTTAAAGGATGTTCTTGGCGAAAAAAAATCATTAGCTTAAGCATAAAATATAGGTCCTATTCCAAAATCATTTTCTATTACTGAGAATGAAAGATATGAAATATATTAAAGATGTTACTGTAATTCACTTATAAACTGTTACCTGCTCGCCAATGAACTTTTTCAGTCATCAAAACAATAAAGAGTAATAATAACAACTTCATGTTGTAGTGAGATGTTAACACCAAGAAGCAAACACAACTGGTAAGAGATGCTGAATTTAATAACGTAAAATTCTGGTTACTATTTTCCAAGTGGAAATCTGACACTAGAGCTCGAAATGGATGCCTACATCTTAAGCGCTGTGATTTTTAGCTGGGGTAAGAGTCAAAAAATGTAATGGAAGTTCTTAAACTTCTTAAACATAACAGCCTTCTGGATGTTTAACATGATCACTTCAGATATTAGTTTTCCAATATTTCATTACCACATGAAAACACTTTCCCTGTTTCACTATACAGTAACACATTTTTTCAAAAAACTATTAGTCATGCAAACAGAAGGGCAGACGTTCTCAGAAGCTATGTAACAATTTAGACAACCATGTTGATAACATTTATTTTGATAGCATCTATTCTGTCATTTGAACATCCATTCTTAAGTCTGCCCTCTTTAAGAAACTTAGCAGTGTTTTATGCACAAAGTACATACTTAATGGGCTCAGCAAGATTGCTGGACTGTTCAGATGAGCACTGAAAACATCCTCTCTCTTTTAAGAGCAGAATTTATACCAATGACCCGCCATGACCCCTCTTCTGAAGTCACCTTTCCCCCCCCGCCATGAGGCAAATGACAGAAGATGAGAGTGTGGAGATTATGCTAGAGAGCTGCAAAAGCTTCTTGGCTTTTAGAAGCTTCCTCATAGTACCAGGGAATCAGAGGGTTACCTTAGATTTACAGAAGCTGGAGCACAAAAGACAGATTTCTACATTATTTGTAACAAAGAAAGGAAGGGTTGTGACAAACCATTTCATGACAATACTCTTGCCTAAATGAAGAATGTGACATGCTTTGGAAATGATGTATCAAGTTCTACTGAAAGTAAGAAATAACAGAAGGAATTGTAAGATGTTGAAGAAAGGGTATTTTATATGCCCCCACTATTCTGAGTTGTCTGGCAGTCTGTCTTCCTGTTTTATTGTTTATTGCTGTCATGAGATTAATGTTGATGCGTGATTTCTGTTAAAAAAGTAAATTAAAACCAAATGCAGAACAGATGTATTTATTTTTGTTCCGTTCTGTATGAAGTGACTTTTTAAAAAGTCAAAAACTAAAAGTGGTCATTCTATGTTAAAAGGAGAAATATTTTAGTAAATGTAAACATTCATGACGCTTTTAGTTTTTTATTTTTGTCCTAAAAAAGTAATTTTCTTGCAAGGTGGCCCAAACTGTCCCTATCAAAACAGGTAACAAGATTAAGATGCATTATAACCCAGCATGATCAGAATTATTATTATTCAGTTAAATGCTATGACAGGTAAGAGATACCAGTAAATTCTTTTACAATTCCTAAGAGTCATTTTGCCAACTTGCTTGAAAACATTTTTTCCACACTTTTCTATTTATTTACCCTCTATAGTACAGTCTTACATGCAAACTACTAACATATACTTGCTTCTCTGCTTGCAGTCCCGCAGAACTACTAGCAAATACTTATCAGTCAGGGAAGCTAGCCAACAAGACACAAGACTCTAAGGTTTAAAGTCATTTAAAGTCTTTAGAAGACTTTAAAGTCTTTAAGAGACTTTAAACGCAACCAACAAACTGAGATGGAGATGGCAACACTGACATTGTCAGTCATCTGTCAGTGTCAGACACTGACATTGTCTGACGCTTAGGGTGAAGGACTATGTCAGCAGGCATTTGTAATTTTAAAAAGTGGAAAAAACTACCAAGTAGGGCAGCTGATGGTTGTATCGCACTTCTGTCCTCTACGACCATAGCTACGTTGAAGGAAGCTAATGCAGCCAGCAGCAGGATTAACTTCCACTTAAATCTTTGGCATGGATTCGTACAGGGAAACTGGAAATTAAGTTAATAGATCCATAATAAACCTTAGGGTCATCTATTCTGATTTCTTGTATCTCAGGCTATTAAATTTTCCATAGTTATCCTGTATCGAGCTCAAGACGGAGAATCTGCTTACCAATAATCAGAGCTCTTCAAGACTTCTCATCCCTAGGCATATACCACTCTGGACACATGCCTCATGAGTTTGGCCTCGGAAATCTTTCAATGCTAACAGTACCTGCAGCACGCATGAGCTTCATGCCAAAGGCACAAAGGCTTGTACGAGCTCACAGTTCAATTCCTTTATGGTAAACTTGTATCTGGCTAAAGCCTAACTTCCAGAAAAGGATCTATTCTTGATTTGAAAGACTTCAAGACATGGAAAATCACCACTTTCTCTGGTAGTTTGTTCCATTGGTTAATCACTCTGTTAAAATGTTTGCCTTATTTCCAAGGTGAATGTCTGACTTCCAGCTTTATGGGTTTTTTCTACTTTTCTTCACCTAATTAAAGAGTGCTTTAGCAGTTAGTACTTTCTCCTCATCGAGTTTCAAAGCCACTTATCATGTCATCTTTAATTCTTCTTTTTAACAATCTTTTCACTTTAGTTCTTTAAATCTCATTTTCTCTGCACATTCTTCATTTTTCCAGCATGTTTCTTCAAATGTAGACATCAGTAGCATGTGCAGCATTAAAAAAATTTATTAGTATGAACAAAGCTGTACACAGACATGAAGTACGATTTCACTACCCCCATTTTCAGAGCCATTTCAGGCTACTGTAACAGCCTTTCTGACACAGCATCAGACAAGAATCTTACAGTATCCTACCCATTTCACCCTCACATCCTCTTCTGGGAGTACACACTCCAGGCCACAGCTCTTTCTGCAGCGTTCCTTAGTCCTGTATATCTATCCACGTAAAATTAATCTGTAAAATTGATCTTGTTTGAACACACCCCAATTTACCATGTTATTCAGACTTCCTTAGGAGTGCCTTGTCTTCACAGTAGAATCATAGAATCATTAAGGTTGGAAAAGACCTCTAAGATCATCGAGTCCAACCGTTAACCCAACACCACCATGCGCACTAAACCATGTCCCTCAGCGCCTCATCTACACGTCTTTTAAATACTTCCAGGGATGGCGACTCCACCACTTCCCCGGGCAGCCTGTTCCAAGGCCTGACCACTCTTTCAGTGAAGAAGTTTTTCCTAATGTCCAGTCTAAACCTCCCTTGGCGCAACTTGAGGCCATTTCCTCTCGTCCTATCGCTTGTTACTTGGGAGAAGAGACCAACCCCCACCTCGCTACAACCTCCTTTCAGGGAGTTGTAGAGCGCGATGAGGTCTCCCCTCAGCCTCCTCTTCTCCAGGCTAAACAGCCCCATTACAGTTGTTTTTGTGTAATCTGTAACTTTTATCTCCAGTGACTTCTGAAGCAGTGATTTCCAAAACATTACATTAAAACAAAACAAACAAAAAAAAAAAAAAAAAGAAGAATGATATTAGGATTGGGCCTACATGTCAATTGCTGCAACAGCTGTTAACCAATCCCAAGTCCCTTTAACATGTACTGATATACTGCACACACAGAGCACTACTTTTAAAATGAAAAGGTCAAATGTTAAAGTCAAATGCCTGAGTAGAAACATGTAATTTTGGTTGGTAAAGCCAACTGATTGTTTAATCTCAAAGAATGATAGTGTCCAATCACTTACTTTCCACAAAACCACAACAACTGTCAAGTTATATTCCTCCCTCTCAATTTTCTATCAAACAAATCTATGGTGAGTTTTTCCATTGCACACTGAAGACGAGGCTGAGTTTTCCGGTCATCTCTCCCTTGCCTAGTTAAAAGTGTTACAGTCAGGATTCATATTCTTTCAGTCTTCTGGAATTTTCCTGACACCCAAAACTCACCAAAACTCAGCATAAGAGGGCCTAAGTCGCCTTTTTAAGGCATTTTCACTGCAATATATATGTTCCAGGCAACTACAAGAAGTGATGATCTACAATCTCTATCATCTTCCCATATATTTCCACACATGCTTCATTATTCCCATGTGCTATAAACAGACTGTCCTGAGTCTTTCCAAACACAGAGATGGCTGACTCCTAATATTTTGCTTCCCTCCCTTTGGAGCCATGGAAAGAAACAGCTATTTCTGAAAACCCCAACACTGTACAGTGTACCACCTACAGAGTGAGATATCAAACTGTGCAAGAGTCAAACTGCTTCTCCCTCGCC